CTGGAGCACCTCGTTGGATAATGTGATTTATGACACAGACTGAGGAGTGGGGAGGGGGGGAGCAAACAAGGGCAACGTTCTGCCATAACTTACGTTATGTGAAGTGGTGCAGCGGTTAAATGCAGCACTGCAGGCTACTTCAGCTGACTGCAGTTCTGCAGTTCGGCTGTTCAAATCTCACCGGCTCAGGGTTGACTCAGCCTTCCATCCTTCCGAGGTGGGTAAAATTGGGACCCGGATCATTGTTGGGGGCGATATGCTGACTCTGTAAACCGCTTAGAGAGGGCTGAAAGCCCTATGAATCGGTATATAAGTCTAACTGCTATTGCTATTACGTGAAGTCAGATCTGACTAGGTATTGCCCAAATTTTGCTCCTAATAAATGACTGGGTTTCTTTTGAAACTTGGCTCGAGGCTCATAAGTTAATCAGGGCAACTTTCTTTCGGAAACCTGACACAGAGATTCCGACAGGGAGAGGTCCATGTTTCCTCTATTTTGTAGCCAAAAATCAAACACACACACACACACACACGATCGATGTCGCCAAATAAGAAAGCGTTGATAAGGAAAAAAGAAAGGCTCACATTTGGTGGGAAGAAACCCCAGGGCGACAGTGAATTATTCCTCAAATCAGCGAATGTGCTGAGTGCTCAAAACCATTTTTCTGCTTTTGCAAGTTTCAGGCTCAAGCGTGGGAATTCGGTCAGCAGCGGGTCGATGGACCAGTACTACAGCTTGCCTACCTGCGTGGCCACCGGCCTCCCTTCCGCCGTGGCCGATGAACAAGTAAGGTGGTTTGTTCCGACATGCGTCCATCGGCCCTTCACGCTCATCCCCATTTTGCTACCCTGGTTTAATTTTGGCTATTGTGCCCCAGGGCTCAGGTGGGCATAAGGCGCTCCTCGACTTAATGGCTGCAACCGAGGCCAACAAATTCCCGTGGCTAAGCGGGGCACTTGTTAAGTGGGCTCCGTTTTACGACCTTTCCTGCCAAGGGAATCGCTGCAGTGGTGAAGTTAGGAACGCGGTCGTTAAGTGAATCTGGCTTCCCCCATCGACTTCGCTTGTCATAAGGTCGCGAAAGGGGATTCACATGACCCCTGGACACTGCGACCGTCGTAAACATGAGTTCATTGGCAAGTGATTTCGATGATGTGGCGAAGTGTGAAAAATACGTCATGTCCCCGTTTTCAGTGCTGTTCTAACTTCAGACGGTCACTAAGAGAACTGTTGTAAGTCGAGGACCCAATGGTGGGGGTTTTCTTGTGTGGGAATAATCTACCACCAGCCTCAACATCCTAAATTTACCAGTATAGCTCCTTCTCGGCTTACAACCGTAATGAAGTCCAGAATTACTGTCATTAGTTGCACTGGTCATTAAGTGGGTCGCCATGCCGAATTTTATGAGGTCATTAAGGGAGTGCAGTGTGGACGTTAAGCAAACCCCTTGGCCACAATGGGTGCGTTTTACCGAACGAAGCAGAAAGATGTCGCTCTCTGAGTGAGACGTATAGAATCTGTGTCGTAAGTAGCCTGGGAGAGGTCTGTGGTAACTTTAAATGGTCACTAAACAAACTGGTTGTAAGTCAAGGACTGTATTCATCAGCCATCGCTTCCCCCCCAGGTGCCCCCTGTGGCCCCTGAAGCACGAAGTGCCCAGCTGCAGCCCCTTGGGCACACAGCTAACCAGAGCACAGGTTAAATGACGCTTAGTGCCAACTCAGAGTTAGAACAGCAGTGGGGAAAATGTGGCACGGCCAGTTCTCACCCTTACGACCGGCGTTTCCTTCCCATTTCCGGCTAATAAAAAACACCCAGGGCAAACAATGGTTTGACGTAACGACCATCCCGTACACTTAATAAGGACTATGTCCACTTAATGACCATTGATTTAACCACCGCGAAAAAAAGGCTTGTAAAATTGCTTTACGGCTGTCGTAGATAGATATAGATGAAAGAGAAAGAGATAGATAGATAGATAGATAGATAGATAGATAGATAGATAGATANAGGTTGGTGAAATGAGGACCCGGATTGTTGTTGGGGGTGATATGCTGACTCTGTAAACCGCTTAGAGAGGGCTGGAAGCCCTGTGAAGCGGTAGATAAGTCTAACTGCTATTGCTATTAAAAAAGAGCTCTTGCAGAGTATTTTTGGAGATTTGGGGAAGGCCTGGGATGGACATCCGTTCTGGGGGCTTCCTTGATAAGTTTTTTGTTCTTTTTCTTCCCCTTCTTTGCTGGTAGGCCACATTGTGGTCAGATCTGGCTCAGGCCCAGGTAAGGCAAATCCTACTTTCCAAACAACCTCCGTGTCATTCCGTTAATTTAGGCAGCGGAACTGCTTGCCACCAGAAGTTGCGGATGCTCCATCCCTGGAGGCTTTTAAGAGAAGGTCAAAGACAGTCCTTCGTCTGAAATATTACGGGGGCTTCCTGCCTGAGCAGGGGTTGGACTAGAGGACCTCCAAGGTCCCCTCCAACGTTGTTATTCTGTTATCCAACCACATATCCGGTCGGGTCAGATGCATTTGTGACAGGACGCCCTGGGCAACTGCAGGCTAGCTTCCGGTCAGTTTCACTCTCTCTCAAAGTTCCTCTTTCTAGATTAAGGCTTCTGGTTTCTAACCAAGAATGCCATTTGCCTGCAGCCCCAACCACCCGTCTTCCGCTTGCGTCGATCCCGACACAGTTTGGGATCCTTCGACGGTGTTGACGTGCCTTCAGAATCGTCACGAAGCCAGCCTCTTGGAGTTGGAGACGGCCAATGGGGAGGTAAGCTTCGAACCTGGGTCTTTGGGCAGGAGAACCTCGCGGGACCAACGGTAGGGCTGGTGGAAGAAGATCTGGAGAAGATTGTGGCATCTGGAGAAGCCGAAGCGGTCCAGCTTTCTTGCCTGGCACAATGTACCGGTAGCCTTGGTCCTCAGCTTACGACCAAAATTGAGCCCCAAACCTCTGTGGCCAAGGGAGACAGTTGCGTAGTCAGTTTGGCCCCGTCTTACAACCTTTCTTGCCCCAGTCGTTAAGTGAATCGCCACGGCTGTTAAAGTAGCCACTTCCCCAAAACGGGCTGCGTGGGGACTCCTGGGAGGGGAGGGGCCAGCCAGTCCTTGCAACTACCGGTTTGATGAACCAGGTGTAAAATTAGCTTCTAGTTCACCTGACTTTGCTCGTCAGGAAGGGGTCACACCACCCTGAGAGCAAACCGGTAGCTCCGACCATCAGTTGAGAGCAAACCAGTTCGCTCCTACGATCAGCTGATAGCGAACTGGTAGCTCCGACAATCAGCTGAGAGTGAACCAGTAGCTCTGACGATCAGCTGAGATCAAACCAGTTCGCTCCGACGATCAGCTGAGAGCAAACCGGTAGCTCCGACAATCAGCCAAGAGGCTCCGACCATCAGCTGAGAGCAAACCGGTAGCTCCAAGAATCAACTGAGAAAAAACCAGTTCGCTCCGACAATCAGCTGAGAGCGAACCGGTAGCTCCGATGATCAGCTGAGAACAAACACCACGGGCAGGTGGGCAGGCCAACCTGATCGTTGCAACAACTGGTTCGCTCTCAGCTGATCGTTGGAGCTGCCAGTTCGCTCTCAGCTGATAGTCGGAGCTACCGGTTCGGTCTCAGCTGATCGTGGGAGCTGCCAGTTCGCTCTCAGCTGATAGTCGGAGCTACTGGTTTGTTCTCAGCTGATCGTTGGAGCGAACCGTTAGCTCCGACGATCAGCTTAGACCGAACCGGTAGCTCCAACGATCAGGTTGGCCCGCCCGCCTGCCCTTGGCGCTTTACTTACTTATATCCTCTCAGCTGATTAGCGCAGCAGAGCGGATTGCCGCACCTCAGCCGTGTTACTCACCAGGAAGTCCCATGGAAGGTAAGTTTTGGTCAGTCGCGCACAGAGAGAACCGGTTGTTAAAGTGGGAGGATCCCACCCCTGCCTGAACGACGCCTCTCCCTGCTTTGCAGATGGCCTACCAGGTGTATGAATTGAACCAGTTGCTCCAAGCGAAGGATGCGGCACTGGGGGACCAGGAGGGCAGGTAAGGGGGTCTCCCTCTCTCTCTAGGTGCAGCCTGGATCTCTTGCCCCAGATGGAAGGAGGATGGGGCTGTTTGAGAGCTGGGCTCTTGCGGGGGTGTATGTCAAAGGGTGATCCTTGGCATGCTTTACCTGTGAGCCCCAACTGTGGCAGCTTTTAAGATGTGTGGACTTCAGCTCCCAGAATTCCCCAGCCGGCTCTCCTGGCTTTCATGCTAAGGTGGGGCTAGAATTCACCGTCTCCTGGTGATTGGCTCAGACACCCAACTGACTGTCAGCTGGGTGTAGGGGGTTACGGTGCTGGCCTGGACACTAGGAGGGTGTGAATTCTAGTCCCTCCTTAGGCATGAAAGCCAGCTGGGTGACTTTGGGCCAATCACCAGGAGACTGGGAGTTCTAGTCCCGCCTGAGGCATGAAAGCCAACTGGGTGACTTTGGGCCATTCATCAGGAGACTGGGAGTTCTAGTCCCGCCTTAGGCATGAAAGCCAGCTGGGTGACTTTGGGCCAGTCACCAGGAGACTGGGAGTTCTAGTCCTGCCTAAGGCATGAAAGCCNCAGAAGTTGTGAATGCCCCAACACTGGAAGTCTTTAAGAAGATGTTGGATAGCCATTTGTCTGGAACAGTATAGGGTTTCCTGCGTAGGCAGGGGGTTGGACTAGAAGACCTCCAAGGTCCCTTCCAACTCTGGTATTGAATTATTGTATTACTTAGCCAATATTCTGTTCTGTTCTAATGTTCTATGGGGTTTTCTGCCTGAGCAGGGGGTTGGACTAGAAGACCTCCAAGGTCCCTTCCAACTCTGTTGTTCTATTCCATTCCTATTCCTATTCTTTGTTCTATTCTATTCTTATTTCTTATTCCTATTCTTATTCCTATTTCATTCCAATTCTATTCTATTCTGTTCCTTCTATTCTATTCTTTCTCCTATTCTATTCTACTCTACTCTACTTCTCCTATTGTATTCTTATTCCCATTCCATTCCAATTCTATTCGATTCCTTCTCCTATTCTATTATATTCTTTCTCCTATTTTATTCTACTCTATTCCTTCTCCTATTCTATTCCCATTCTTATTCTTTCTTCTATTCTATTCTATTATTTCTTATTCCTTATTCCTATTCTTATTCCAATTCCATTCCAATTCTATCCTATTCTATTCTATTCCTCCTATTCTATTCTATTCCTCCTATTCTATTCTATTCTTTCTCCTATTCTACTCTACTCCACTCTATTCCTTCTCCTATTCTATTCCTATTCTTTCTTCTATTCTATTCTTATTTCTTATTCCTATACTTATTCCTATTCCATTCCATTCCTATTCTACTCTACTCTACTTCTACTTCTCCTATTGTATTCCTATTTTTATTCCTATTCCATTCCAATTCTATTCTATTCCTTCTTCTATTCTATTCTTTCTCCTATTCTATTCTACTCTACTCTACTCTATTCCTTCTCCTATTCTATTCCTATTCTTATTCCTATTCCATTCCAATTCTATTATATTCTATTCCTTCTATTCTATTCTTTCTTCTATTCTATTCTACTCTACTCTATTCCTTCTCCTATTGTATTCCTATTTTTATTCTGTTCTTATTTCTTATTCCTATTCTTATTCCTATTCCATTCCCATTCTATTCTATTCTATTCCTTCTATTCTATTCTTTCTCCTATTCTACTCTACTCTATTCCTTCTCCTATTGTATTCCTATTCTTTATTCTGTTCTTATTTCTTATTCCTATTCCATTCCAATTCTATTCTATTCCTTCTCCTATTCTATTCTATTCTATTCTTTCTCCTATTCTATTCTACTCTACCCTACTCTACTCTATTCCTTCTCCTATTCTATTCCTATTCCTATTCTTTGTTCTATTCTATTCTTAATTCTTATTTCTTATTCCTATTCTTATTCCTATTCCATTCCTATTCTATTCTATTCCTCCTATTCTATTCTATTCTTTCTCCTATTCTATTCTACTCTACTCTACTCTATTCCTTCTATTCTATTCCTATTTTTTCTTCTATTCTCATTTCTTATTCCTATTCTTATTCCATTCCAATTCTATTCCTTCTATTCTATTCCTTTCCGTTCCCTTCTAAACCATTGAAGAAAAGGCAGGAGGAGGTAAAGCAAAGCACTTAAGAAGGAGCAAGGCTGATCCCGTTCACATCATGATAGGAAACCCAAGGATGCAAACTCAAAGCCAACACTTGAGTTTAACTCCAAGAGGATGCCGTTTGCAACGCTTAGAAAAACGCTGCGGAGGTTGCGCAACAATAGACGGGGACCCCTTGCGTGCAGTGACACTAACAGGTGTGTAATCCTGTAGTCATTACATTCGGCCCATTAGGCAGCTGAACTCTTACCGTGTTCTCCACGGTGGTTAATTAAGTTTGACTTACCTTTGATCGCTTAATGGAGCGATACGGCTGGAGTGGCTTTTCAGGATTGATTGACGGCAGCTAAAGTGGTTTTTGTGTTGGCGCCTGGTGAATGGCAAGGTTTTCAGCTGTGCGTTGCCATGGCTCGCTTCCTAGGTGATTGGCCCAAAGTCACCCAGCTGGCATTCATGCTTAAGGCAGAACTAGAACTCCCCGTCTCCTGGTGATTGGCCCAAAGTCACCCAGTTGGCATTCATGCTTAAGGCAGAACTAGAACTCCCCGTCTCCTGGTGATTGGCCCAAAGTCACCCAGTTGGCATTCATTCTTAAGGCAGAACTAGAACTCCCCGTCTCCTGGTGATTGGCCCAAAGTCACGCAGTTGGCATTCATTCTTAAGACAGAACTAGAACTCCCTGTCTCCTGATGATTGGCCCAACTCACCCAGTTGGCATTCATTCTTAAGGCAGAACTAGAACTCCCTGTCTCCTGATGATTGGCCCAACTCACCCAGTTGGCATTCATTCTTAAGGCAATACTAGAACTCCCTGTCTCCTGATGATTGGCCCAACTCACCCAGTTGGCATTCATTCTTAAGGCAATACTAGAACTCCCTGTCTCCTGATGATTGGCCCAACTCACCCAGTT